AGTGAAACACAATTCTTAAAACTGGTGAAGTTCTGCGGAGGAAATACTGAACGTGGAACTTGTACTGATGAGTCGAGATATTCCTGGATACTAATTTTGTTGATATTGTGCTTACTGTTTGTGTTGACTTGCTACCCACTGACTTCTTGAAATATCATTTATTTAGGGCCCTTTTGATGTTGTCCGGAAGGTTTTTGCTACTGGAGAGGAAGCTTCTCGTATGTCTCTCATAGACAAATCAGATCTTTTCTTCCATGACTATTCCCTAGCACCTCTTTTTGTGCAGGAGAACTATGTACATGTGAAACCAGCTGCTGCTGGGTGAGTTACTCCATACCCTAAACTAATGTAGGCTTTTGTGTCAGGGAGTCAAAGTAAACTAAAATCTACCTGGATATTTTTGCTTTGTAATACAGTCAACTTCATTTTTTTCCAGAGGAAATCTGAAAAAGCACTTGGTGCTCTTGAGTAAAGCAGCTGATAGTATATGTGATGGTGATATAGTGGACAAACAGATTCGTAGCAAGCAGAACTGGAATCTTCTTCCAACACAGGTGAGCACATTTTCTGTGCTTTAAGGGGCATCCAGTGTTAAAGACTGATCTGTGGAAATCGGCGTTTCAGTATAATTTTATGACCTGTATAGTTCATACTTCATGTGGTATTCGCTGTTCCGCTGGTGATTTGAAGAGTTTCCTATGTCCATATTGTTGAGCCCATGCTGCAACATGAAATGAAGTCTTCTGAAACTTTGAAAAGCTTGACTCTGTTATGAAGCATAGAAGCACCTGGTGTGTGTATCACTCCTGATGTGCAGTTACCCTGTGCTTCTTCTCACCTGGGCAGGATTTCTCCTAAAGCACAGAGGACGGAAGCCTTGTCACTGTATTTCTTTTAATGACCACTGAAACACTGACAAGACTTGTGCTTAAAGGATTATGGCTGGCATCAGAAAATGCATCATAATGCATTGTAGGTAAAGTTGGAAGGCACCTCTGGAGGTTGTCCAATTCACCCCCTGCTTTGTGCTGGTCCAGAGAGATGAGTTGCTTAGTGATGTAGCTGAGTTTATATATATATTTGCAGTGTTCTTTGGAAATGTCTCCTTCACTCTGTCTGTCTGTTGGACATCACAGCACTTGCTTGTGTGAATGCAGCTGTTTGACCACACTCTAAACTGAGAAACATGAGAAACAAACAGGGGTTTTTTTATGGTTTTCAAACCCGAGATAATTTCACAGGTGTTTTAGAACATGGTAACAAACAAGGTGGAACAAGAGATGAAGCTGTAACCCAAGAGGGATTGAACAGAAACAAGCAACCAAGAGATGGTTCTCTTAAAACAAGCTGTTTCCACTGTTGAACTTACTGACTAGTCTTTCCATGCAGACCAGTAGGGTAGTGTGTTATGGTGTCAGTGAGATTAATTCAGTGTGATTTGAGTTTGGCATGTGTGTTACTTTTTCAGGCTATTTATGCAAGTGTTCTCCCAGGGGAGCTGATGAGAGGTTACATGTCCCAGTTTCCTGTCTTTCCCAGCTGGCTGGGGAAATTTTCATCCACAGGCAAACATGATCGTATCATTCAAGAACTGGCAATGCACATGAGTCTCAGGTAGTACTGACATTCTTCTACTGGCATTCTGTTTATAGTGATACAGTTTGTTCTCGTGCAGTTCATTACCTACCATTAATTCCTTGCTGTGCTTGGTACAAACAAGTGGCACATTCATATATGCTCTCAATATGCTTGTATATTCCTGGTGACACTTTCCTTAGTGCTTAATCTGGACAGCAGTCAAACTAAAAACACTTTTGATATAGTCAGCAGTACTTTGTCTTTTTTTTTTTTTTCCTCCCTGAAGTTGTTTCTCAGTAAGGGATATGTTTCTGCAGACTGATTGTGTTCAAATCCCTTGCATCAGTTACCCTTACTGCAGGCACAGTACAACTTGCGGTTGGCTCTTAAGGCAGCTGATTGTCCATTTGCTGAGGGTCTCCTTACCTACTTGTTGCTTGTCTTTAGAAGTCAGTGGTGGTGGCTGTACAGATTTATTTACTCAATACTTTACTTTCAATTTGACAAAGAACCCAGGCATGCAAGAGGACAGTAAATATGGAGTATTTGTCGTATTTGCGGGATGCACTTGTCAAGCCCTTGAAAGACTTAGGAGCAGATGGTGTACAACAAGCTATAGCGTTTATGGACTCTTACTGCTTGATGAAAGAAGATATTGAAAATATCATGGAAATAAGCACGTGGGGAGGCAAACCCAGTTCTTTTTCAAAGCTGGATTCCAAGGTAAAATTCACCAGTGAATTTTTTCCTTTTCTTCCTTATCTTTAAACAAGAAATCCTAGAATAATAGCTGTGGTATGGATGTGCTGCTGGAAGACTGAAGTTGGTCCGGCTGCTTATTAACTGTGATTGATAGTAGTCTTTGTAAACCAACTGTCAAACATACTACTAAAGGTTTAAGGGTAAGTCCTAAACAATAGTCAGGCTGTGCTTCATTCAGGAGTCTTACACCTTTTGTTCCTGGTGTAGAGGATTACTGGGAGTCAGTTATGTCTGGGGTATAAAGTGGAACACAGAAATACAGGGAAAGCTGGTACCTTTCTACCAGCAAGTTCCTGGCTGTGAGCTGCATGAGCTGCACGGCCTTCAGGCAGAGCCCTGCCTTTCTTACCATCACACAAAGGAGGAGGGACACACAGCTGCCTCTGTTACGCTGTGGGCACTGGATTAAGAGGCTGCCTTGCAGGTTCCATCTTTCACAGTGCAGTTAAACAGAACTGCCATACCTGGGGTGCTTTGTGTGCTGTTCCTCCAGTGTCCAGCTAGTCCACTGCAGTGATTGGGACCTTCACCTGGTACAAGGTGAGCTTAAGCTCAAGTCCCTGTTACAAATAGGCAGGCATGACATCTGAACCCTGATCTCCTTCATCCCAGATCAGATGCTCAGGGAAAGAGAATGTACTAGTACCTAACCCTACACTACTAGGAGGTGTTTACCCCCAGTCTGAATATGCTGCCTAGTCTCGCAGGCATTCAGTGCTGCTGAAGGTGGCTCTGGTGCGACTTGGATTAGGTGGCAGCAGAACAACAGTGCTGCAATTACACTGTAGGCCTAAGCAAGAAGCATTTGAAGATGCATTCTCTGTCTGATATATGCTCTTAGATGCTTTCTGTGTCCTTTTGAGACAGTGTCCTTTTCTATGTATCTTTGGTCATGTCTTTCCAAGGGAAAGGTGATGTGGAATCTCTAGCTAAGAGCTGGTTAGCTAACAATCTACAGTTCCTAAGCTGATGCTCAGTTTCCTTCCTTCCAACCTGACAGGTCAAAGCAGCTTTCACACGTGCCTACAACAAAGAGGCACATCTGACTCCATATTCACTTAGTTCTTTCAAGGCATCTAAAAGGCAGTCAGGATCTGCAGGGACATTGGAACTGAGTGAAGACTTGAATGTGGAAGAGACCCAGTCTGATGAGGATGAGCAAGATACTGTTGAAAGTGATGCAATGATTAAGGTGATTTAGTTTCCTCAGTATTAAACCACCACACTGGTTTTTTGTTTGTTTTTAGTTACTTTTCTGGGGCTTGTAACATCATCTAAACAAATTAAGAAAAAAAATTTAGTAGATATATCATCTCCCAACTTCTAAATTTTTAACTGGTGGTAGTGTGAAATAGTCTGTTATTTCCATCCATTGTCTTCTGCTTGAATGTTGGACCAAAGTGAGACATCACTGTAAACTCATGATTGCTGCATCCAATTCCAAAACTTAGTAATATTTTAGGTGTTGTTGGGGATGGTACCATTGGCAAGGAGCAGCCCCAGGCCTTTGCGTGTGGTTATCAGAGATGACAATCCTAGTAATACCCTTTGTATCTATCGCCAAATGGGAAACTGTGGTCAGCCCTTAAGGCAGAGTCTGTGCTCTCCATGGCATTTAAAAACCTCACACCTGAAAGGGGACAGAAAGAGGAGACTTTCTTTAGCATTGATTGCATTTTGACTTATGGTATTGTCAGGTTGCAGCTGCATTTTAAATTGTTTGTATATTCTGTTTGTAGCAAAAAAAGGTGAAGTCTTCCAGGCTGCCAAAAAGAGAGAAAAACGAAGAAACAACAAAAAAAGAAGGGAAAAGAAAAGAGAAAACAAGACATTTGGAGTAAAATCTTACTTCGGACACAGCTTTGCTTATCTAACTTCTGGCAGGAACATGAAACAGATCCAGTGCTGCAGCTGGGAAAGTAGAACCAGGGCATTGAAAATGCTCCTCTTATAGAGGTGCTGTAGCTCCTGTACTCTCATATGATGCCCTGCTGTACTTACTCTTAAGGTGGTAATTGTTACAAACTATAAATATCCTTGTGCAACGAACACCAGGTGCATGAACATGCTGAAAATGTGATGCTTAGTTACCTGGCATTTATGCTGAGTCTTCCTAGGACTTCACTACTTTTTTTTTTTTTTTAATAAATCCCCTGCCATTATGTGGTGAAGTCTTGTAAATAGTATATGATGCAAAAAACTCCAAACATAAATTGCCTATTTGTACATTATAGAAATTACGCAGTATATAAAATTACAATAAAATGTTTCACAGGACTCTTTTAAAGCTTTGGTTAAGTTCATGGAGTATTCTGTCTCCCTCCCTTTTTCCAAGGTTTTGTCTTTCCTTCACTTATAGGATGTGGAGTTCCTCTTTTCCTAAAACTTCCCTTTTGTTCAGTTAGAGACACAGAAATTAGTGAGGGATTTAGTTCCAAAACTTGAGGAGCCCATGCTTGTATGAGTTGTATCTTTAATCAAAACCAGAAAGGAATATTTAAAGAGTAAGAAATGTTTAATAGAAAGTACTCATAACAATTCATAAGTAATATTGAAAAAGAGAATAGTAGGGAGTTAGTTTTTCTTTTTGCTGCTCACATAACAAAGATTGCCCCGTGGCTTGTCTTTGGTGTAGATAAAATGCAAATTCTGCTTGGTAAGAATTATCAATCAGTTTTATTACTACAATAAAACAAAGTACAAAATTTATAAAAAGCTAAATATTTACAGATATCACAAAATAGAAGTGGCATGGTTGTTATTACACCATTGTGGGGAAAACTTGTGATAGAGCTTTCCTTGCTGTTTGCCAGCCAACACAAGCAGTTCTAAAAATAAAGAGAGGTTGTTAGTCATATCTTGAGATACAGACACCATGATGGCAGACTACAAACTTTTCTCAGATCAAGGAAAAAACCCAAACCACCTAAAACCTCCCAAAAAGAAGTTTATTGTGGTATATATAACTTAGCACAAGTGGATTACTCTGACCTATGGCTGAGTTTTTATGTAAAGTGGTTGCAGTAGTAAATCTGCCTTTAAATGTCAAAATTAACAAGGAACTTTGTTAACTCATTTTCAGTTAACCATTTCTTTAAGAAAACCAAAGTCTTGGATCTAAGTGTGTGGTACAGACAGAGCAGTGCTCTCATTCTTTGAAATATGAGTATTTCAAGCCAATACTTGTTGCTGTTATCCTGGGATATATTCTGTTAAATATACAAGATCAGACCATGTAACCTGCATTTTATATCTGCTCCTTCCAGTTCACACCTCCCTCTCTCTCCCCCTGCACTTAAACCCTTGTTGGAGGATCTGTAGGAGGCTGGATAATGTTGAGATCTTCAAACTGTTCTCTGTGCTACTAAAGCAGAGCTGGTGCTCCAAACCAGAACATCTTGCAGATGTTAAAGTGCTCATAGAAGTAAATGGAGTTAAAGCCCAAATTAACAACCAGGTCAGTTGCAGTAGCAAAGCCTACTGGTGTTTACATGCCTGAGGGCAAATATGGGAGACAGAGCTGGGCCTCAGTTATCTGGGGCTGTAAGTTAAGATTCTTGAACACAATTCCTTGCTGAGAGAAACTCGCAGTGTCCTCTAGAATGAGCCCTGTTCAGTAAAAACTATAGACTAGCACATACCTGAATTTATTGGTCCCCTTCTTCTGGTTTGAGGTATGCTGTGCAATCATTTATTTTCTTAAGATCAACAATGTTAATCCTTTCAGAACACATGGGACACACGTTTTCAGTCTGTAACATGCTGTTTTAAAGGAAGGGGTGACTGGTCAAATGCTAATTACAACATTTTTGAAAGGAAGCAGAGTTCTGACCTGTGCCATGTAATGTGCAGGACAGAGCAACAGCTGCTTCTATCTACATGGAGCAAAGGTTGGTTTGGTTTTTAACTAACATCACACCAGGCAGGCTGGTCACAGTGAGTGAGCAGAATTTGGCAATTAAAACATATACAAAGGAGCTTGGGCTAAAACATGAAGTTTCAGCAGCTTCACAGTTCCTGACATTGGAATGGAGCTATCCAATCCCATTCTCACACATGATTATTATCCAATTCTGTGTGTATTTTGTTTGTTCTGGTGACTGCTGCTGTGCCTGTTTCCTGCCCTGCCCCCATATCAGGCCTTCTTCCTGGAAGGAGCTGAGAACTTACACAAGCTCCCCTCCACCTTCACTACTGAATGAAGCCCTGTTGGAGCCCTGTGTCACAGGCCCAATTCTTTATCGTAGCTTTAGGTCCACTTTGAAGCAATGTCCTGTGAGTATGGCAGGTGCAACTACCGAGTAAGGGAGATTCCTCTTCCACTCACCCCAGCTGTTACATGTTTTTAGTACCAAATGAAACCATTGGCTGCTAAAATATGAACAAACACTGGAATTCTGCAATAGAAACCCCCCCCAAACTTACTTTTTGAATTCTGAATAGAGGGCAGGAAAGTCACAGTGTGGGCAAACTGTCCAGTCATCACGTACCATGTGTCGACCCTGCACACAAAAACCACAAGTAATTAAGGGACAAGTTCTGCCCTGATACAGTGGGCATCTACTTTTGTACCTGTTATTGAAAAAATCTCAGCAGCTGAGTTCTAAGATCTTGAATTAAAAACCCCAAACTGTAATAATGTTAACTGTAATCTGATTACTGTGTAAATTCTGTAACTAAAAAAGGAGCTCTCTAAGAGATGCAGTGTTTTCACTGTCATTTGTCTTCCTCTTTAAAAAAGAAATCTAACAGTGTATTGAATTACAACTTTAAAAATTGTTTTAGTTTGGTAGTTCTAGAATGCTATCTGTACATCTCTATCCAGAGCTGTACCTAAATCTGCTGGGATTATTGGTGTTGTGTATGACATACCAAAAAATGTCCCCAAAGCCACGGCACCTGAGCCCATTCAACACTGTCAAGTTTGTGAGCATAGTGCCTGCCTGGTATTTGCCTCTTTACATAGAAATATTTTTTCTGGTACAGTTTACTAATTTGCTTTTGATAGAAAGAATTCGTATCTCAATCCATTACACTTTTCAATACTATAAAAACACAGCAGCAACTTGAACTACATTGAGATTTGTGCTGTAATATGATTTGCAACAGCAGACTGCTTGGTACTGATTCTCGTTAGATATTTGAAAATGCCACATTCTTAATGATGTTACAAATACCTGTGATGCAAATGAAATATAGCCAAGATGGACATACATTAACATGCACATTATGTTTGGATCATAAAGTAATATTTAAAATCCTTTTTTTTTTCCTTAAGATAATACTGCTAAAGTCTACCCATCATCTTATTCTCCTAGACCAAGAGTAAAAAAAGCCAAACATCACATAATTGATATAAATTTTTTTTGTAAGACTTAATTCTTTAGTTTTAATAAAGAATGTTAACTCTAACATTTGATTCCTGTTCAAATAAGTTCTCTTTTGTTCCTGTAATTCTAGTATGACAATTCACTTGAACCTAATAAAAATAAAGTGTTATCCAGTAGCTATACAATAACTTTGCCTGGGAATGTATCCCTCCCTACCTTTTCAGTACACTCCAAAGTATCCTGAAACAAACTTTTTATTTATCAGAAATTTAAGAACTGCTGAGGTCACTGGCTGAACCATTACTTAACCTTGGATGTCCTTAAAAATTCTGTGACATTCTGGCTGTTACATTCTGGGCATTTCCCAAAACAGACTTCAGAAGTTTTATTCCGCTTTTTGGGTTTTTTTTGTGGTTTGTTGTGTTGTTGTTTGGTTTGTTTTTTTTAAATGATTTTATTTTTCATTTGATGTCTTGGCAGCCTGGAATTTAGGGGAATTTACAAGCTCCTGTATGGAAAAGGAAAGGGGTACTTCTGTCAGCTGTTAGAGCCTCTGAGCAGAGGGCTGAACTGGGAAGGTGCCTGCAGCGCAGTCCTGTCTGTTCTCCCAAGTGCACCAACTGCATGTGTGCTGGGGACTCCTGGTACTCCACCTGCCTTCTCAAGAAGCTGAAGTGTTCCAAAATGACTTCCTGATTTTACTGTCACCCTTAAGTGCCTGCTACTTGTAGGCGGCAACTCAGGACACTCTATGACGAAGTATCAAAGACAACAAGAATGTTTTTTACTTATTTAGTAACATTAGAAAAAGGCACAAACCATAAAAACACCTAGCTTGGATCTACTAGCAAACCAAAGATATTCAAATAAACTTATTTGCAGAAGGGAAGACAGGCTTTGCCTTCGTTGTCACAGTGCAGAAAGCATGGCAGACACTCACGGTTGCAATGCAGTACGGGAGGTTGTTTTTACAGCTAGGACACAAAAGTTCACACTCCGGGAGCTGGAATGCACAGTAGGGACAGGCTGTTGTTGGCTCTTCTGTCTCAGTTGTGTCTCGGTGTCTAAAAGATAGATACAAGTGTGAATAAAACCCTTTAGCTGTTTGAACTTGAACAAAGCTGTTTTACAATGCCATTGATATTTAGCAAGTGCTTTTCCTTTGAGTTAGTTGCATAGCTTCCAGCTGCTATTTTATATTCTATCTGCTCATTCCTTTTCACTATCACCCAAGTTTCATCACAATTACGTAAACTTGGAAATAGGTAATTTTCCATTTATTTAGAAACAATATCACCTTTTAAAAGCTGTAACAGATCCTAAAACTTTGAAAGCTTTCAAAAATCGAGGTCTATACATATGGTTTCTCTATTTCAAGAGTTTTTCTGTGGCAGGACCACAAAGAACTGGAGTAACCAGAAAAAACTCTGGCTTTGTGGTGGGACTATACAGCTTGTAACTGCCTTTGTTTGTCCAAGCATCTGTCAAAGTGACAGGCCTGCTCCAGACATCATGGCACCTGTGTTAAGGGGGAAGGGGCAGGAGAGAGAACTATTTTCAGATTTCTTAGGTGACCCTAATGTCTGATCTTAATGTTCCAACTATGAGGAAAACTACGAGGCACCACTTTACACCAGCTAGGGACCAGTCTTGACACAATGGAACTTCCTGTCATAGGAGTCACCTGTTGCTACAAATTTACTTGGCTTCAAGCAGAGACATTGGATAAGCCCATGGAGAGCTTAGAGACTTAATGAATAAATACCTAAACCACCCATACGAGCTCAGCAAATCCCTGAGTCTCAGAATGGTTAGAGGCTAGTAGAATAAATGAGAAAAGCATTACATATGCTTGCCCTGCTCTTATACAATTACCTATGCTTCCTCTTCTGGCAGAAAAATTGGCTAGCATCTATCAAAACTTCAGGTAAGGAAGAAAATGTCAAGAATTCATATATTTTATTTGCCCTCCCATTCTTTTTTATCTTAGCCATTTAGTCAGTAGTCTAAATCACGACAGACATAATGCTGATCCTGCAGTAGCTAATCGTTTGGCTGTACCTTCTCAACTAGAGACCAACTAAACCTGTAAGGCTGCACTGGCATCTGTATGGACAAGACAGAAAAAGTTACTGCTCGTGAGGAAGCATTTTACATTCACGCTGCATTTAAGGTTTATCACATCCAAGGGAATAGAAGATTCTTTAATTTTCAGAGAAGGGTGGGAAATGATTCTTAGCCTTCCAAATTTGAGACAGCAAAATAATATGAAGAGAGGATAAAGGCTTTATGAGCAAAAAGAGCATTATAAATAAAGCCTTGGTATCGTGTCATGTACATTTGATTAACACCACTCACCTGACCATTGTTTCAATTTTTTTTTTGTATTTAGGATCTATTTTATTCCTATACTCAGGTCTCATCAACATAGCAGCAAAACTGAAGGCTGAGTTCTTCAATCCTGCTCTGTGACACTCAATTACAGCTGAAGTCAAAATTGGCACAATGTCTGTAATAGAATGGAAAAATTATGTCAAATATTTGTTTACCAATATTAATGTTGAAAACTTTTGAGCTAATATGGCTAGAAAGGTACTGATGAAAAAATACAGTGTTTTTCTTCTTCCTCATGGTAACAGTTGCAGAATTTGGGTCATTCCTGTAACCATATACAAGAAAACCACGGTTTCACCTCTCACTGCCCTGCACTCCTGAAGCTCACCATGGCAGCAGGAATGTTCTGATTATAACCATTTCTCCCAAATCTGGTCTGCCGTTTAAAGCCTACATTTTAGTCTACATTTTTCATGTACCCAAGAAGTATTCTCAAAAGAAGATCAATTAAAATTTTGTCATGAAGTCCCAGAACGTTCATTACACGCGATCCCGAGACTTTAACTGCACTACTGAGCTGCCTGAACCAAACATACAGTGGGTGAGGACAGATTAACCTGCTGATGATGATCCCATGCTGGAGGCTGTATATCAAAGAGCTCTCCTGTGGAGGGTGGCAGAGCACACTGTGTGGTTATACTCTGCTGTGTGCCAACAGCATCACAGGAGGAGAATGAGCCTTGTAACACAATGCTGATGGATGAACTGCCCCGTGGAGCACAGCACGCTCCCCTACGCTGTCAGCACTTACGTGATGGGAACTTGCTGATGTTGTTGGCGACACGAATAAGCATACGTGCTCCCTTCATGTGATCACCACGTTTCACGTGAATCTGGAACATAACAAACAGCCATTTACTGCAGCCATTAGAGAGTAATTCCTGCAGCCTGGTCTTGGCATTCATCCTGCTGGGAGCTGTGCATCCACAGCTCTTCCATGAAACTGAGCAGAGCTGCACTAGAGACTCCATAGTGGCTCTTTCCCAGAACCATCTTTCTGGCCTTCAGCCTGCTATTTGCAGGCTCTTGCCCCACTGCTGGTAGAGAGGGGGGCCAGAAGCTGGCTGCAGGCTGAATGGATATCTTGATGGGCATCCATGGGTTAACTACTAGAAATCATTTGAGCCCCCTGCTTAATTTTATTTACAAAAAAGCAGTGATCTACTTATGGATAATAACAACAACAATAACAGCAAATAGTTGTACTAGTAGCATAGTATTTTAAAATATGAATGCAAAATAAACACAGGAAGCGATGTGTAATTTTGAATTATTCAGTATTTAAAAAAACAATATGCTAATCAAAGAGGCAGAAACAACCATGGATTATCCTCCTGAAGCTTGCAGTTAGCATGCACTTGGATTCTGTGATACAATCTATATGACAATATGTATATGGATGCTCTATATGGATACAGAGCATGTACAGTTCAATAAATCACAGACTGTGCAACTTATGCATAAATTCAATTTCTCAATTCTTTACCTTTACTAAAATATAGCTGTGTAGAATCATAAGGTTTGTAGCCATTTCAGAAGAAATTTTAATCTTCTGGGTCTTTAACTCTGAATACATACTGAAAAGAACATCACGTGCATTTCGGTAGTTTCCTTAAAAAAAACCAACAATGAACAGTACATTTAACATTTCATAACAATTTATTTACTTCTGACATAAAGGGAAGCTGAACAGGAAGTTATGTTGATTTTTAGAGTAAAACCGTTGCATGGCAATTTCTTTGGAAAGCCACAGGCAGCTGCTTTTCACAGTATCCTAAACAATATCAGCCAGGGAGTTAGGTAAAAAAAAATACACTTGAAGAAGTAATCTAAACAGTAGCAAAATACATATGTAGATGACAGTTGAATATAATGAACTTTTAAAAGTGGAAGATGCTGTCTCCAGTACATTGTTTCCATATTAAAGGGGAGAAAAGGTATTTTTAGAACAGTTACACATGTTATTTCTTTTTGTTCTTCAACGACAGATATTCAAAAGCTATTGCTTAAATGTTAGTTTAACATACTTTTACATGACCATTTGCTTTGGCAACTCCCTGCCTCTGTGACCAAACAAACCCCAAACCAGTTGAGAGATGATTAAAGTTTGAATTCCCTAGGTTATACTGCTGCAAGGTTATTATCAAAGATCATTCAGAAACCACAGGATTCCATTAAATGATCGACATAGCTGAAAACAACTAGTGTTTAGTATGGTTAGACTATTCTTAGTTGTTTGTTCTTACTTTGTTTTAGGGGTTGGTTGGTTGGTTGGTCAGTTATTTTGGGATTTTTTTCATTATTAGAGTCTGAGGAAGACACTGTTTGCAGCTGGAGGCATTTAAAGGAAATTTCAGATTCAGTTATTTCAGCAAACTTTTTTCCTTGTCTCCCTATATTTCTTTATCACCAAATGTTTTTACTCTATACAGCAATTTGAATCAAATAGAACAATTGAATCAAATTGTGGAATTTGTGTGAGGCAGCTAAATATCACTCCAGAATTAGTTGCTGGAAAACAACATTATTTTTTCATGCTGTGTTACTTGCTCTCAGAATAATATGACCGATCCTAAAATCATGTGATTTCACGGATTTCACAGAGAATTCTGAGTTGGAAGGGACCCACAAGGATCGAGTCCAACTCTTAAGTAAATGGCCCGAATGGGGATCAAACCCACAACCCTGGTGTTATTAGCACCATGCTCTAACCAACTGAGCTAATCCCATAAAAACAAGGAAAATTACACATGAAATGGCATACCCAAACTAAAATAACAAACAAAATACCAAACAATATGACTTAAATATTATTGTTACATGGATTTTTAAGGAAAGAACAAACTATATTTGGTGCAAACTTCAGAATCAAACTCACTGAAATCTGCTGAAGAGGGGGATGATCTAAAACTGTGCCTCACCAGAAGAAACAGTTACTGCAAGATTGGCGATTTTAATGAGACAAATATTGTGCTTCTTATTACATGGTTGCAGAACACATCTGTACTATTAGGGAATAAGAAATACACTGTGGGATATTGCCTTTTAGATATAAGTTTTCAGATTCAGAGAAGCTAGTAAATATTTAAACCCTTGAGCCGTTTCATTTCCTGCTTCTGTAATTAGCACAAATGCATTATTCACTACTATGATGGATTGGGAGATTTGCTTGCCAAGGATTTCAGAGAGGTTTTTCCACTCCTTAGCCCAATGCTGAGGAGCAGCCCATAAATGTTAATTTGCCTGGGCTGTTCCCAAGGCTGCTATTTTTCCTTTATAGATTTTTTCTTTTACATAATTGAAATGAAAAGCAAGCAGTGTTATGGTAGGGTTGTTGCTGGGCTACAGAGGAGAGTGAATAATGGAGATGATAGCTATTTTGCTTTTAGCCCTGTCTCTTATTATTTTTCTCTATTTCTAACTTCAGCTACCCATTACAGGGGAAAACGAGGCTTATGTAAGCACATGTCTGGTCCTTCAACAGAAATCTTCTCCTGTGCACATCTTCTAGTGAAAAAAGTCATGTGCAAAGACTAAAGAATCAGTATCTAAGTCAGAAACCACATGCAATTCTATGATCTGGGATACACAGAAAATTAAAGTCACAGGCTGTCTTAATCACTACTTGAATGTAATAAAGAATACAGATATTTTCCACAAATTTCTTTTTTTTCCCAGTATTTAATATACAGGTATAAGTCCCAATGTTTTCACAAAGGCTACTTTCAATTAAAAATTAAACTTGAATATAATTCAAAGCACCGATACATGTCTTCTCCAACTATAATCCTACATAAATAACAGTACTCTAGGCAGGGTATCTGAGGAGGCAGCATCAGAGATGCTGTCACATCAGGGAAAACTGACTTACCTGAACACTGCTCCTCCCTGGCAATTATTATAGCAGTTCTGGCAGCTTCTCGGTACTGCTTCAGTGCCATGTATAAGCGGAACAGGTACTTGGCATCCTTAATGAAATCATACAAAAGCAATTAATACATACTGCTGTACTGCTTTCTTTACTCGCTCATCCCACCATTCTCTAAAGAAAGCAGATAAGTTGGCTTTTTTTGAGAGGAGCTCTTTGTATCAACATGGTTCAGCTTTGCCACATTCACCTGCAAGGCTTGGCTGTCAGTACACTCACAAACACCCATGCTGAGGACCCTCAGGGAGTCCTGGCAGGTCACTGCCAAGCCCTGTCCATATGGATGCAGAAAGCCACAGACCACCAGGCACAGGGAGAGTTTTACAGGTGAAAACCTAACAGCTTCAGATGTATGGGCAGTTATGGTGTCAGAAAAGAATGGAAGGACTCCTTTTAGAAATAGAAATCTTGCTAGAAATGTTTAAACCGCCTTATGGATCTAGATGTAGACACAGCTTAGTGTGGATAAGGATGACAAAGTCTAGCCATTAAAGAGTGTATTGCTCTCGGACCAGATAGTAAATATCCAAGACAGCTAAAAAAATGAAAACCAGCTAAAAAAATGCATAAAATTTATAATTTGCTATACCATGTATTTTGATGGATTATATGATTCAAGAATGGCAAGTGGAGCAAAGGGTTTGCCCAAAAACTGTCAATCCAACAGCAGGTAAATTAGTGAAATAATTTTAAAACAAAACTAAAAAGGTGGCAGTATTGTAGAAAACAAACACGAGTTCTCTTTTTGTAATGTCTACTCGAATTTCTAGTTAACAAAAAATTAACAAGAGAAAGGAGAATTGGGTCTTTCATAAGGATTTTTAGAAAATCCTCAAAAGAGGTAATTCATAAAAATACAGCTAAAATACAAAATAAAATGACCTTGCTTATGTTGAAAAGGAATTACCAAGCGAAAAAAAACTTAGGCTAGTGTCACTATTTTATATCTTTAGCAATGATTTCTAAAATTGGATCAACTAAAAAAGTCTGTACATTATAATCTTTTAACTAGTAAATCAGGATTAAATTAAGCTGAAATATTGCATATAGTGGTATGTTTCCAACTTGAATGTACAAATCACAAAAAAATGACACTGGTAGCTTTACAGACAGTTTAGCAAAAAAATCCAAACCAACTAATTCTGCATATTAATAGTAAATTCAAACATTTACAATGTGTATTCTATGTTAAAATGGTATAAAAATTTATCTAAAAAGAATTGTATTAATCAATGTTGTGCTGTTCTCTGGAATACTGTGTGGATTTTGTATGTAAGTCTCAGAGCGAAAAAAGCAGAACTTCAAAGAAACAAAAATATGAAAATATAAAGGCATTTCCTTATAGAGAAGATGAATGCAAAGATTAACTTGCTACTTGAGAAGCAAAGAAAAAAAATGACAAAAAAATCACAGAAATAAAAGCAAGAGAGAAAGACTGGCATACAGAAAGAAAAAATGGAAGATAAATTCTGCTTTTTAACCTGCAATATAAGGGAAAACATTAAGCGACCAAAAGTAATTACTGTTAAACTAATGATGGAGCAGAATTTTAAGTAACACATGATCAAGAGGTCAAACATCTTAAGAACTGTAATTTAACAATAATGAAATAGTTATCTGGATAATAAAGTAATCACAACTACTTACATTAGCAGATATTATTTATCCACTGTAAACTGCCTTAAAAAGGAAAATTGCTATTCCCTGAGTGGGGTAAACCAAAAATTATTTATGATGTAATTCTTCTCAACTTCTGACACCACCTAATGACCACAGATGGCCATTCCACTGATGATAGCAGAAGGCTGCACTACTTTCCCATCCAGGCTGCTTCTGCTCTTTCTCCTGTTGCAGCAGGAGAGGATTCTGTCCCAACGTGGACAAGCGGCCTTACATGGTATTTGCCACGTCGCTAATTATATTTTACTTAAATAATATATTTAAATTACTTACATGGCAGCCACACGTAGGAAAAAAATAGGTATTTATGGAAAATTAGTCTAATGATTTACTTTTATATTCTTACCTCTAAAGTCAGTAAGTTTAAAAGCTAAAAATGCAGGAAAGAATTTTCTACTGACAATACATTTCCTAAGGTCTTTAGAAAAATTTATTATTGCAATCTAACTGATCTTAATATTGGATAGCCATGATTGTAATTTAATTTTCCTTTTTAGAACACATGTACTCAGAAAATATGCACACAGAAAACAGCAGAACCTTGCTAGTTAACACTCTCTGAAAGAAGACACATGACAAATTACAAATCTTTACATGTTAAAGTTAACAATTACAATAGTTGGCAAAGTAACATATCTAAGAAATAGTTTGTAATTAGTCAGATAATAACGTATCAAAACTGTGGTGAGCATAATAATATTGATTATTATCAATATATAATTAAAATGCCACATAACTTTGGCTGTGGAAGATTTAAAGCAATTAGTCTGCTGTGAGTGTTGATCTGGCTTGAAGATCAATGCTTGAAATGATTAGCAAGTTTCTGCTGCATGACTACTTTTAAGTTCACTCTTTCAGCTTTACAAAAATGCCACCACATAGAAGCTGCTATTGTCTAAAAACAACTTCACTTGCTTCATAAGTTCAAAATCAGTCTCCATAGCATAATAAAGATTAATTGTTTTTAAAGTAATTTTTAAAATAAATATTTATGATTTGATAAAGCAAAATTTTGTTACTCACTGAGAGAGACTATGGTAGATTGGATTAAAGCATTCAGAAGAACAAGAAAGAGCTTTTAAACAAGGAAAAGAATGCTCTGCATTGAAGTTCAAAACAAGGCTAAATATGGCATTTATGGCATTCTGCACAAAATTCCTAAGTGTTTTCTAAAATCTTTAGAACCTTTTCACTATGAAGATCATACTGTAGCTCACTTCCCTTACCCAATCCCATGTACTTCTCTGAAAAGGCTGCTGTTTTGGGAAGAGACTGGATGTTACAGTTTCTGTCCACCCAACTTCCAGCATAAATATGAAATTAGTCTTGCTTACACTGATACTACATAGTAGTATCATCCAATGTCTCCAACAGCTTAATTCTCTTTGGGCTCTTGCAGTTGAATTCTGTCTGCTTTGCTATGTTTTGCTTCTCTCATAATTTTTTAAATGTTTATATTTCATATTACAGGTAAAAATAAGAGGTAAATAATAAAGAGCTAGAGGTTTGTTTTGGTTTTATTTTATTTTATAAAAGCCAAGTTTGCTTGGCCATCAACTGCCCCGTGTCTCTAAAAGTCTGAAATATCAAACCCTTGATCTCTAGGCATCATACAGAGAGAAAGGAGAATTTCCAGTTTCCCAACTGAATCACAAACCAGAGCTGTAATATTAGGGGTCAAATAACTTACTGCACCAAGAACATGGCATCTCCATTGTTACCAAATCTTATTCCCCTCAGTAAGGCATAACTTATTCTTCCATATACATAATATTGCACATGACTATATTTACCATGAGTTTGTATGAGACACTAAATTTCTTGACTAAGCAATTGACTGCAGACTGCAATATCCTCACCTGACATCTGTCTTTCACAGTAGAAACACGTGGGTGCCACACCACTTAGCTCACATTCCAGCTCTGCTGTGACAGGCAGTAAAACTTCAAGTGGTTCAGCCACTTAGTTCCATGAACTCAAGCTCAAATATGACTGAATGTACTACAAGTTCTATTATCATCAAAGCCAAAAATGGACTAGGAAGACTTTTCTACAGCTCAAACTCAGAGAAACCAGATAACCCTTCAGCAGTCACACTGTAAAAGAGCTTATCTTAAGCTCAAATGCTGATTTTCTGGTGTCTAACATTTTTACAGGGGCCATTTTTAATCTGTACTGGAAAAAACCAACCATGCTAACATAAGAAGGTCAAAATCTATTTCTTGTATTATAGATACAGCATAGACCTAATCTATGTTCTGCTTAGCTTGTGAATTATCCCCTTCTTTTATTACCAAAGCTATGGCATTGGCAGCTAATACACAAAAATTTGTCAACAAGTATCTTCTAACTCCCAAATCTGTATATACAAGAGAAAAAGATGAAACAATCTACCAGTCTGTCAAAAACTGCTTTTAACAAAGTAGCAGGAAACCTGGAAGAAAGGGTAATGGTTCTTCCTAAATTTTATTAATTGATCACATGAAATTAAAAGTCTCATAGCACAGAGCACCTCATACCTCATCTCATAAATAGTATAAAAGAAAAAGAATGTAAGGTTCTAAGTGTCCAAAGAAGATTTTCTGTAACAATAATGAGTGAAAACATAAAAATCAGTACAGTACTTTATTCTATTATTAATAAAATTTAGGGAGGTCTGTCACCAAAAATCTTCAAATATGCCTCGTTTTTTCTAATTTTCTATCATAAATTAAAGACGTAATTTTACTCTTCAGCCTAGAGCAGAAACTCTGTGCTTTAGTTTACAGAACTACAGCCTGTATCTGGAGATGAAACTGACTCTATGAATAATCAATTCAAACTTTAAACTAAATACTTCTATATAATAAGAAATCCAAAAAGGAAGAGTATTTTGGAGTTGCTTTTGGCTAAGCTTGTGAAATTATGGTCATTAATCACTTCAGAAATCAACAGGAAGCTGCTAATTTTGAAAATCTATCCAACATCCTTTTATGCCTTATGTGTGAACACAGGAACTAATGTAGCCTGGCCAACTTCAGGTTTTTGACCTTCATCTCCTATTTAGTACCTTATTTTGTTCCACTGCAATAGTTCAACCAATTCTCATAGCACAGAAAGAGATCAGTGCTGTAGCTGGTCTCCAGACATACGCACGCTGTCTGTCCATCTGGGAAAGGCAACAGCCAGCTGGCAAACCAGCATGAACAAACAGCTAAGTTTTGTCTCTTACCCTCAGCAGGAGCATTAATTTGGACTGCCTCTGTCCCACTACCTGTTTTCATAAACTAAGATAGTTACTTTCTTTCTATATTTCTGAAGCTGAAGTTACTGGGTGAATGACTTGCAAAGTGATCATCCATGTCTTGCTCCTTAATGAAAGCAAGCTAAAACACCATCTGTGTCTACCAAAAATTTTAGGAAAAAGTAAGGTCAAAATACCTTGTAGCATAGCAACGTGACACAACAGCACTGATAAAAATACAATACCTGGGGCATGCCATCACTCTCTCCCATAAGATAGTCAATCAGCTGATTTGTTAGGGCTTCATCTTTTGCCCGTCCTACCTGTTAAATAAAGACAGAAGAAATCATGATAGAAGAAGGAAAAATAACTTACTCGTAAGGAGGCTTTCCATAAAACACTGAAACTAGATAGATTTAGAACATTAATTTTTTTAGTTCTGTGTGTTCAAACCAGATGATTCTTTGGTTCATCAGTTTTGACATGCAGTAGTTCATATTTATTTTATAATGTGTTATGCTGGGATTTTTAGATATGTTTAGATATCATCTTTACTGATACAGTTTTCCTTCTATTTGCATTCTGTCCAAATACACACACTGATGCTAGGCAAATGCCACCATACTGAAGGTAAACTTCTTAAAGAGATGAAGAATTTTTGTTTTATCAAAGTTGCTTACTGTTTCAATTGCCATTTCTATAGCCAAGTTATCTTCTGTGTTTGGACTTTTCATAAAGTGCCTTAATGCCTAAAATGATACAGAAGAAAAGTTAAAACTGAGACACACGAAATTAGCTTTTCACTAATTTTTATCTCTTCATTTTGACAGAGAAGTAGCAAACTAAATGCTTATCTCCACTACAGAGGTAGCAGCTGCTCTTACAGATACTCCTGCAAGAAAGAGTTGAGTCTTTGCCAAATTCTGGTGTACACCTTCACCAACTGTGAAAGATGTTCACAGCAATATGGTGAGAAGAAATTAAAGATTAATGTGCAGTGGACCCCCCTACACCACAGTTGAAGGAGTTGTCACCTACAGTGGCTGTAATTTGCAAAAATCAATCATATTTTTTTGGTATGTATTCAATATGCAAAAGCCAAATGTTTAATAAGCATCAGTTCATTGATTTGTACCTGATCAAAAGGATGTATGTCAATCAACATACTTTAATTAACATATTTTCTTTTTAAAAAAAAAGCTTTCAGTTAGGGCATGCTATAGTATTAAATAAATTAATTGCTCAGCAACCAAGTCTCTGCTGGTCCAAGCAATAAAATGCAAATAAATTCTACTGCTGTGGATCATTTTGAGATATGCTGACAATAGTATATCACTGATCTACCTGGAGCTTCTACTGCTATGAAAAGGTTATGTGCATAGCAGTGTATAATTCACAGAATACAATCTAGATAATTGTAAATATAAATAGTTTGCTTATGGATTTTACACTTTAAAAAATTTCAGTATGTCATCAGTTAAGGCATTTAAAATTTACTATGAACTTTTCTGATTTTGAAGTATTGTATTTTGAACAGTTTCTATGAACATTTAACTTCCACTATTTTATTCTTTAAGTACTGACCCGTCCATATTGACCACACAGCAAGAAAAATTTTCCTGCCTGAAAATGTTTCTTTTCTGCTTCAAAATATAGTGCAATGCTCTGATAATCTTCATTGCTAGTACTTTCAGAACCTGCAACAGAGAGAGTAATAGCAGAGTATTCTTATTAAATAAGATAAAGGCCCTAATGAAGGAACAAACTCCTATTCCACTTTTTTTTCCTACTGACATTCAAAGAAAACCAAAGCCAGACAGACTCAAATTATGTCCTATACATTTCTTCCTATTTAATCAGACTAAACGTCAGAAATTAGGAGCTAATAATGCAGTGAAATTATTGTTTTCCCAGGTTTTACATCATGATGGGATTTCTGTTTTTCATAGAGCCATAGAATGATTTGGGTTGAAAGGGATCTTAAAGATCATCTAGTTCGAACCCCCTGCAATGGGCAGGGACACCTTCAACTAGACCAGGTTGCTCAGAACCCCATCCAACCCGGCCTTGAACACTTCCAGGGATAGGCCATCCACAGCCTCTCTGGGCAGCCTGTTCCAGTGCCTCACCACCCTCAAAGTAAAGAAATTTTTCCTAATACGTAATCTAAACCTATTCTCTTTCAGCTTAAAACCATACCCCCTTGTCCTGTCACTACATGCTCTAGTAAAAAGTTATAATAAAATTTCATAATAAAATGGCATAACTATGATCTAATAATGAATTTTTCCATCATGCCTTGGCAACAGTAAAACAGAGCAAGTGACTATGAGATTATCACCTGAATTGCTTCCACAGTTTAAGAAGAGGGAAGAATACTTGTATTGCACAAAGCAAGACTTTTAGGACCAATGTAACCAGATGGTTGCAGGGAATAATACTACCTAAGTCTTCTAACCAAGACTCCATTATACTGTATACATGTAAAACAAAGACAGCCACTACCCCAAAGTTAGTTTTAAACCCTTTTTCTACCCACTTAGGTTACAATTTGAGACATCCTATTTTGGACGTGAGAGAAAGACAAAAGCATAAGAGCAGCAGAAAAATAGTGGCCACCTTGACAAGCAGCTGCCAAGTTTTTACAACCTTCATAACAAGAATTCATTTTTTAAAGGAAGAGATTAATTGAAAATAAGAGATAATGTGGTAGATACATATGTGGGAGTGTTTCCACAAGGAATGGTGCCTGACACAGATGAAACTCATAGAATTTAGTGCAAATTGACAAGCTGGACACTGACTGACTTGATGGCCTGAGATAAAAGTCAGCTTCTCAGTAAAGTCTCCTTTTTGCCTGTCACTGACACAAGAGGAGGCCATGAAGGCCTTAAAGGGAAAAAAAGGAAAGAGAAGTGACATATACAAGTAGGAAAAGAGCTGGAACCATGAGAAAAGGGAAAGGGGACAAAAATCAAGAACTGCACCAGTAACATGTCCAGTTTTGTATCAAGGTCAAAGAAAGGGATTCCTCAATGGACACAAGAAAATAGTCAAGACAAATGTTTTACCTCTATGGATAAACAAAAAAAGGCTGTAGCACAAGCAAGATTTGAAAACAACCCAGACTGAAGACCAAGGGAGGTACCTAAGTTGAAAGCAAATTCTGGTTTCTAAGACTGAAGTAAACACATTGTCAAATCTGGCCATGATGACTGGAAATGGAAAAGGTTGGGAAACAAATCTTCACATCCCTTGACTTATGATTTCTAATTGGTTCAAATCAATTAAAAGAACAGCAAAACATAATGCAAGCAAAACATGAACCCAGAACACTCACTGATGATATCGGCATAAATCTCCATTTTGTTGTGTTGTTGAGCTAATGTGAAAGCTTCATTATTACACTTGGACATGACCAGGAACTGGATGGCAGAACCATAGTCACCAAGCTGCAGAAAGAATCTAATCAGAATAACAAATTAACACCTTAGTAATAATTAGCATAATGAACACACCAAATGTTTTAGGAATATGGTATATTTTGTGGCATACAAATATGATACATTTCTAATTAATTTTGTATCTTGATTTTTATTAGATTGTTTAGACCTTAATTGTTTTAACTAGGTTACTAAAACTACTTTAGTATAAATAATACCGTATGGCAATTTGTATTACTGTTTAAACTTATTGCTTCAGGTTAATATAATTTTAATCAGAAAGTTAAGAAAAAAAAAACAGTACCAGTTTAGCTGTCCAAATCTTAGAGAACTCAAATCAATGCACTGAAATATAGAGTCTGGCCAAGTACCAATAACCATAGTCTCTTTCACCCTTTTTTTTTTAACCTGCATAATATGATTGTTACCTGGCCACCATCTTTGCTCCTTCAAGAGACTGTGTTTCCCTCACAATATTAACAGCCTTTTCAGGATTATTAAGGTGATCCAAATATAGTCGAATTACATTATCCCACTGTTTTGCATGTTCATAAGCTATCACAGCTTCCTTGTACCTGCAAAATAATGGTTCCATATCAGTTTTTCTAACTTTTAAATAACTCTTTATAATACAGTGTGAAAGAAGCATACAGTATTTTATTTCTGCAAGATTACTCTGTGACACCTTCCTTTCAGTTTGCATGTAATAGCCTTGTTCTGCATTTACAATGGCTTTTTTGGTCTCTATTTAATTTTCCCTTGGGAGAACAAAAAGCAGAGGCAACAGAAAAATGTCTACCACAACACTATTTTTGACCTACTCTGCCAGCATTCCTTTTTCTATATATAAAAGCAGTTCATCTGTTCCATCAGCAAACATCATCTGTTCCATATGAAATCACTTGGGAGTGAGAGAACAATAAAAACCAAACATGATCACTAATTCTACAATTTTAAAAATAAAGCCTCTTTTCTGTTCTGTAGACAAGATCAAAAAATTTGTCATTCTCCCACTACTCAATTGACACAAACAGTATTTTCTAGTCTTATCAATGCAAATGTTTAGTTTTGGTGCTGTTTCATATTCTAAAGTATTATTCTGAAGCACATTTACTTACAGGTAAGGACTAGTAGAAACTACATTTTGTGATTAAATATAACCTATTTGGGGCCTTCACTTCAGCTAATAACTTCACATTATTCAATATTTTGCAAGTGCAGCCATTAAGATGTAACAGTAATTTCGTTCTAGAATGAAAAAATTTCCTTCATGATTATTCTCCCTTTGAGTGACCTTTAAAAATCACAGGTAAGGAGTCATTAAAAACCCACTGAACTTGAACACTCTGCTAAGTGGAATACTGCATAAGGTGCAGTACTTTAAAACCTTCAATGATTTTTGTTAAAAATATATTAATGCTTTGACAGGAAAACAATCAATTAGAAATACACCTCTGATACTCTGGAAGGTCTTTATGTTTCAAATCTTCATACAACAACTTAAGTTTATGTATTTTAGAATCCATTTTCACAAAGCTATTCTATGCAAAATTTTCAGTCTGTGTTTGACTTTATTTTAAAAAAAGACTAATGTATGATAATAATAACAACAACAACCATAAACCAACATGTTTTATATTAAAAAAGAGCATTCATAAATACCTGCCATCTGCTTCTTTGGCCTTTGCATATTGTAGGTGAATCTTTGGAGATGAAACCTGAGGAAGAAGTTCACCAACCTTTGCCCTAGAAAGTTATTTAATAAATATATTTGGTTTTAAATTTTGTCCAGTAAAACTGTCACATTTACATCAACGCTGAAACAAAGGCTAAAAAAGTATTGAACGCAATGCATGTAAAGCTTTGAAGGCACTTTGATATTCTCAAAAAGCTGCCCTTTAGAGATATAAGAACTGGAAATAAATTTTAATTTTTCAAATACATGAACATAATATTCCAACATAATCTTTAGAGCACTCATATGAAAGAGGAAGGGTCTTCCTGAACTCTGCTCCAATCAGTTTTTAATCTCAGGAGTCCATAAAATGTAATTAGGCAAGAATTAAGCCCTTAAAGCTCTCAGCAAATTGTACTTTTCCACTGGAGACTTCCCAATAATCAAATTACCTTAAAAAAAATTAAAAAGGTATTGAACATAATGCCAGCAATTTTGGCTATTCATGATACTGACTCCACTTGAATAATTTCCAACTGTGTGAATACTCAGTCTCAGCTATGTGTTTATAAAACTGAAGAAATTTTATGAAGTAACATACACAAATAAAATTACCAAATGCAGTGTGCACATGCATGCACCCAAAAAGGACTCGAAACTGCAGATACCTTTAAGCATAACACACAGAAAAAGGAAAAAAAGATTATTTCCCATTTACAGTACATTTAAAACAACATAAGCTTCCGAGAGAACCTGTAAGCTTGGGGGAGGGAACAACAAAATCAATGAAACATAAATAATGAGGCATTTGTGCCACTCAGAGAACCACTCCTTTCCAAAAAGTACCACAGCAAGTCCTTTGAAATATAACGTTTCCCTGAACCCTGTACTTACCAGTTTTTACACCGGATGTATACTGATGCTGCCTTGTCATAATATTGTCCCTTTTCATACAGCTGAGCAGCTTCTGAAAATTGCTACAATATTGGAAATAAAAAAAAAAGAATTCCCAATTAAGATTATAAATAAATAGCTTAATGAATTCCGATATTCACTCTTAACTTTAGTAACTCAAATTTTGGGTACCTTCATATTCTCCAGGATAGCTCCACAGTCTCTTTTTAGTGACCTGCTGGGATGTTTAGTGGCCTGGTTTACCCCTCGACGGATGTCTCCCATTCGAATGGACATTTGAGCCACTCCAGCACGGCAAGCTTCATCATGTTCCTGGTACTGGCAATCAAATGAAAAGCAGTAACTATACATATAATACATTAGAAATATCAGGTCACAAAAACCACAGTAACCAAGCATTGAAACAAACTAACAAAATATAACATGGACTTAATAAAATCAATTTTGTCTTAAAATTCTTGCCCAGCTGCAGCTCTCACTTATTTAGAAGACTTGAGCTTAGTTTTCATCTTAAGGTTTGTCTTTAATTTTCACATTGCGCTTACAAGATCTGTCCAGACCAAGCATACACGAGAAGACTGTTTTACAGACAGCTCAGTGCTACTTTCGTCCTTCCTCCAAAACCAACAGTAGAAAAAAAGAGAAACTACAAGCAGGATATTTCCTTTTTTTTTTTTAAAGGTTGTAAGGCCACTGATGTTTCATAAAGCCAAATGGCTTGAATCCAGAGATTTCATTTCCCTATTATGATCCCCTATTATCATTTAAGCAGCTTCGCAATAGACATTTTGTAAATATTAAGGGAAATAATGCCAGAATAAGGAAGGATCTACCGAATATGTTTATTTGCTAACACAATACTTGTTTGTCTGTATATAGATAACAATCCTGTAAAGGACAGAAGGAATAATTAGGATTTTTGATATAATAAGGAAAATCCCACCAATATTTCCTCTGACATTTGTACATTATTATGAAACTGTTCAAATTATAAAAACCTAAGTTTAGTTATGCCATGTTAATAGAATGGCAAAACCACTGTATACCTAGAGAAAGCATCGTTCTGTGTATTAAAAATAAGAGAAGTACTGACTACTATCCTGAAAGGAATAGGCATAAATATTTAGAGCTGAATTTAAAAAAAATTGGAATTGAAATGAGTCTGAAATATGACAACTTAATGTATATTATGACAGTATAATGCTATAATTACTAGAAAAGGAATTAATTACCTTATTGTTTCCAGTGATCCCCTTCTCATAATGTGCCAGAGCATTAACGTAATCACCCCTAAAAGAAAACTGGAAGTTATACAGAAGAATATTTTTAACAGGAAGAGATGGTTACCTTCCTTCTACACAGATTAGGCATATTTGTCTCGCTTTAGACATAATGACTCCACAGAAGGATGTAAAGTATGTGAGAGGTGGACAGTTACACATGACACTTCCTGTGGACTTTATCAAGCTCTTAGTCAAAGAAGCATTCCATCTCTCAATTCCACTGTACTGAGACCAATAAATCTCTCTTGAAAGACAGACAAAGAATCTATCTGCACAATACACCTCAATAGTCTCATCTCTACTTCCACATTTTTCTGGAAGAAAAATGAAACTAACCTATTAAATTATTTAGAAATTTTGCAACATAAAAACAAAGGTGATTTTTTTCCTGGAGTATATTCAGAACTCAAGTTACAGATGGTTGCATTGCCTCCATTCCCTCCTTTCTGTGACTAAGTGTCCTCTCTCAGTGCCAGGGGCACTGCCAGAGGGAACGAGTTGTCTGAAAACTATTAAGAGGTAAGACTTCTTCCTTCTGGTTTAGACATTAAACAGACCAAGTTTTATTTGGGAAAAATTAACTATAAGATAGACTTTAAAATCATGGCAAATGGTTAATACCTTCTGTCCTTCAGGGACTGGCAACCTTGAAATTTGACACACCTCTACCTAAAAGATTTAAAAAATGAAGGCTAATGGGTATTTAAGGAAAGACAGGCAAAAGGCAAGGCTTTCATCCAAGGTAAGAAGTGCTAAATGATTTGGACTTTCTCTGTTTTCCAAGCACTTGTCTGCAACAAAGTATTTATTAAGTAGATGATATTATACAGTGGATCTACCAGTTGCAAGGAACCCAGATATGCTGAAATTAGTGAAAAGTAACTATTATTTGCTAACATATGTCTCTAGTATGAACTATTCCTTGAAAAACTCCTCTTCCTCATACTATAGGTGCAAGACCTTACAGAATCCTCTCTCAGCAATGCAGTCGCCTGAAGCATCTCAATTCTCTGTTCTTCTATTGAGCATGAGCATTGGTTTAATAATCTTATACTGCAACCTTACAGCAGAACTTACATGAATTCAAGCTGCATTGCATATTCCTTTGATATGAAAGGGATTTGGTCTGGGGCCAAACGCTTAGCCAGCTGAAGTGCACTGTCCCAGTGCTGCAAGTCTTTTCGCATCTATTAACAAAGAACAGTAACATTTTCTAATGCAAGTAGCAAATTCGGAATTCTATTATGAAATTTAAATTATTCTAAATACAAATACTGAGTTAATATTCAAGAAAGATTCAGACAATTTGAGAGACATTCATCCAAAAGAATGTCTGTTAGGACGATGGCCTACAGGAAACTACAGGCCTGTCAGTCTCACTTCAGTGCTTGGTAAAATTATGGAGAAAATTATTCTGGAAGTTATTCAAAACATTGGAAAGACAACACAGTCATTGGTCAAAGACAGCACGGCTTCATGAGGGGAAAGTTCTGCTTGATAAACCTCATTTCCTTTTATGACAAAGTAACCCACCTGGTTTATTATGGAAAGACAGTTGATGTGATCTTTCTGGATTTCAGTAAAGCTTTGAATGCTGCCTCTCACAGGATCCATCTGGACAAACTATCCAGCACACAGTTGGGTAAACACATCATGTGGTGGGTAAGCAATTGGCTCATGGGTTGAGCACAGAGGATAACAGTGAATGGGGTAACATCAGACTGGTGACCTGTCACTAGTGGGGTTCCACAGGGCTCCATCTTAGGCCCTGTGCTCTTCAACATTTTCATAAATGACTTGGATGCGGGACCCGAAGATATAATAAGTAAGTTTACCGATGATACCAAATTGGGAGGAACTGTTGACTCCCTGGAAGGCAGGGAGGCCCTGCAGAGAGATCTTGACAAGTTAGAGGACTGGGCAATTGCCAACTGTAAGAAGTTCAACAAGGGCAAGTGCTGGATTCTGTACCTGGGATGGGGCAACCCTGGTTATATATACAAACTGGGGAACGAGATGCTGGAGAGCAACGCCTTGAAAAGGGACCTGGGGGTCATGGTTGATGGCAAGTTGAATATGAATCAGCACTGTCCTGGCAGCCAGGAGGGCCAAATGTGTCCTGAGGGGGTATCAGGTAAAGCACCACCAGCCGGTCGAGGGAGGGGATTGTCCCACTCTGCTCTGCGTTGGTGCAGCCTCACCTTAAATACTGTGTGCAGTTTTGGGCACCACGATATAAGAAAGGTATTCAGCTATTAGAGAGCGTCCAAAGGAGGGCAACAAAGATGGTGAAGGGCCTTGAGGGGAAGCTGTATGAGGAGTGGCTGAGGTCACTGGGTTTGTTCAGCCTGGAGAAGAAACTGAGGGGAGACCTCATTGCAGTTACAACTCCCTTGTGAGGAGAAGAGGAGGGGCAGGCACTGACCTCTTCTCTGTGGTGATCAGTGACAGGACCTGAGGGAATGACCTGAAGTTGTGTCAGGGGAGGTTTAGGTTGGATATTAGAAAAAGGTTCTTCCCCAAGATGGTGGTTGGGCACTGGAACAGGCTCCCCAGGGAAGTGGTCACAGCACCAAGCCTGACAGAGGTCAAGAAGTATTTCGATCATACTCTCAGACACATGGTGTGACTCATGAGGATGGTCCCGTGCAGGGCTAAGGGTTGAACTTGATGGTCCTTGTGGGTCCCTTCCAGCTCAGGACATTCTATAATTCTAGTCACATAATGGCATGAACAAAACCATAAAAGGGCAAAATTATCAAAAGGTAAAATATTCCAATATTAATCTGGAAATGAAAAGAGCAGAAAATATACACATCTTAAATTAATACCTCAAGAGCAGCAATAGGACAGGAGGATGCCAGATATAAATCCTGAGCCAGATTAAAATCACCAGTAAACATTGCAAGATGTCCTGCTAAAAGGTTGTGGTCTTCTATTCCCTATAGAAAGACATAATAGTTGCAGAATTAGTCCAAAAGAAAATAAATATTGTATAAGTAACATAATCTCAGAAACACAGTAAAACCAATATCCTTACATTTTACAACCACGTGTATTGGATTCTACAAACCAGAAAAAGCCCTCACTTTCTTATTGTAGCTCAGAGTCACTAGGGTAACACTGTCTAAAATCAGCAATTTGCAGAAGTATAATTTTAAGGTACTATTTCAGTTTTAGATGTATAATTGTAATCTGGTTTTGGTTAGGATTTTTTTTAAATAATAACAACAGTCTGCAACATTTTCTCAAAAATTACCATAGGAAATTAGAGCTTCCGAATGCCTGAGACATGAATATATTCTGTTGCTCTCAAACAAATGCAGAAAGAAATGTTGTGCATTCCAGTAGAGACTGCAGCCACTTCTCCCCAAAAACTAAGAATCCAGCAATTCTTAAAAAAGAATTAAATCACTGTATTTCCTATTTAAAAGAGACTTTACATTTTACCTTTATTTGCTCTAGTGACATCACCATCCCAGCATTACCAGATGTCCGATAAACACGTATTGCAAAATCCACCTCCATATGATGTAAGCAAGCTTCGGCCAGCTCATTCCAACAAGATTGGTCATTCAGAAGTCTGCACAGCTCCCATGCTTCAGAAAACCTACAGAAGGTAAAAGGCATTCAAAACTATTTTAATTTTAGATATTACTCATACCTAAAACTTCCTCTCAACACTTTTTTCCCTTATGTTAGAGAAAAAATAAAAAACATTTACTTCTAAGTCATAGAGAGAGAGAGAGGTATCAGGAAGAAAGGAAAAATATACATGTGTACCTTACAGTTCTACTCCTGTTTCTACCACACTTTTTCAGGAAACCATCTGCTTTCCCTACTCTGGCATTCTTTCCATTATACTGATTTTGCATTGCTTCATTACAGTGGGAGTATGCAAGAAGCACCTTCAGCCAGTTTTGGAAGAGCCACCGCCATATAACCCCGAATCAGTCTTGAAAAAAATTGCTTTAGCTTTTACTTGACAGTGGAAAAACAAATAAAACACCACTAGGTCACTTATTTTGCTTGGTCTCCATCAACAGCTGTGTGGACTCACGCATTAATCTACCAATATTCAGCAGGACATTTTTAAATCATCAGGATACTCTGTATTGAGCTTAAGAACAGAAGAAAACAATTTACAGAATATAATTAAAATGTAGATGTACCTTTTCAGCATTAGAGCCTGAGTAAGCATTTGTCTCAGCTTACTAGGTCCAGAGTCTTTCAAATTGCCAAGGAAACAGTGAGTACTTAGATAGATATTGTTTGTTTTCCCACTCTGAGTCTGACAAGTTATTTCTCCATTATATAACAACAAAGGTTTATGGGAATAGGGGACTTCCGTGCCACCTGCCAAAATAATCTTTGATCCTAGATTCAAAGATCAGGAAGAAAGAAGACATCATGTGAAAATCTCTACACGGTAGAAAGTGTAGCAAGCAGTCACAGCTGAAATCATGTATATTTGCAGGGCATTAATTCAAGGTCTCTAATTCTGGCAGTCACCAGTGACTCTACAGTGCATATTTTTCAGTAAAATACAGGACTTAAATCTTCTAAACCTTCTAAAAAAGGTCCTTTTTCAAATGTTTGTAGGGAAATTTCTCTGTCCCAATACCGAAACTGCTATGATTACAATCAATTTTGGTTAACACTGTAAATGAATACAAGTTTTGTCACCCTGATCCTAAGATTTTTCTCATGAACATTCAAAATACAGCTGAAGCACAATGTGTAACTTTCAGATGAAATATTACAATAGCAAGAAGCTTAGGTGGTTAAGATCAAAATGCCTTGTTGGAGCTTTACAGAGAAACCTACAAAGCAACTTGTTTTCTATTCATCAGCTGCACTTCAAAACTTCTGTAGTACTATTTATTTCTGTATGCATTTTATTTAAGAAAAATGAAGATTCAGAACGTTTTACTTTATTAACTAAAATAGTAAGTAACTTTTTTAAAGAACTTACAGTACCTTGAATGGCATCCTTATGAAAAACGTAAGTGTACACTTTATCGTCATCAAAAGCAACAAAAACACCTGTATCCATTGGCCAGTTTTCCCACAGGATTCCTTTAATAGTTGGTGAGAAATCTGGAATCTCATATACTCTATCATTTACCTACATATAATGCAAAAGTAAAATTACTACCAAGTGACTAAGGAGATAAACTAAATATTCATCCCAGTTATAATTAAAAACTTTAAAAATAATATAAATAGTGCAGAAATATGAGAACTGTATTTAGAAAAAGTTTCTTATAAGCAGTGATTCTGAGTAACAAAAAGTTTAAATCAGAAGTGTGAAAATGCACATTATATAAATGATATTTACTATTCTTAAAAGAAGGTATGGGGAGAGGCAGTCAAACTGGCAATGCTTGTTGATGGCCTAAATTATCTGTATTTAAATACACCAACACATACATTTTTGAAAACTACCAATCAGAAACTTAGTA